AGCGGTTCTCCCTCTGGCTCCCTGTGTCTCCCTGCCTGTTAAATAAAGAGAAAAAAGGAAGTTCTCGAGGTCCCATAGTAATATAAGAGTGGGAAGATGAATGAGTCTGCAAATTGCTGACCCGGATCAGCCAGACAGACATGCTCCTCCTCTTCCATTTCGCTAACTCCTAACCTTCCTACACAGCCCACTAGGAGCTACCTCCTCTGGGTGGGAGTTCCAGTCTGGGACAGGCGGCCCCCAGGACTCCCTGGGGGTCCCTGTTCACTCCTCTGCGCAGATGGGGCTGGTCTGCAGTGAGCCTGTCCCTTGCACTGAGCTGTGGCCTCCTGCAGACGGAGGGACCGGTCCAGCTTCTCCCTCCACTCAGAGGTCACAGAACCTGATCCAGTCCTGCAGATATCTTCTCCTGCATGCACAGTGGGCCATCTGAACTTAGCTGTGACATCACTGCTCTGGGCTTGTGTCCCCCACTTCAGTTAACCTCTTTTTTAAAAAAGATTTTATTTTTATTGCAATGTTAGATATGCCAAGAGAAAGAGACAGAAAGGAAGATCTTCGGTCCGTAGATTCACTCCCCAAGTGGTTGCAACGGTCAGAGCTAAGCTGATCCAAATCCAGGTGCAGGGTCCCAAGGCTTTGGGCCGTCCTCAACTGCTTTCCCAGGCCACAAGCAGGGAGCTGGATGGGAAGCGGGGTTCCTGGAATTAGAACCAGCACCCATGTGGGATCCCAGTGCATGCAAGGCGAGGACTTCAGCCACTGGGCTACCACACCAGGCTACGGTTAACCTCTTAAGTTTTACGATTCTCCACTTCATGAGGAATAAAATGAAGCACAATGATACGGATGCTATTGCGATCTGAGCTATGAAGTCTTATGGAAGCTCTGTGTGGCGAGACACTGTCTAGTACCAAGCATCCAGCCCTCTGTTTTTCGGTTTTCCTAGGTGAATTCTTTTTTATTCCTATGTATTTATATGGGAGGCCCAGAGATGGAGGGAGCTCCCATCTGCTGACTCACTCCCAAACCTGGAGCCAGGAACTCAGTCCAGATTCCCCACGTGGTGGCAGGAGGTCAGTCCGCCCAGGGTGTACATGAGCAGGAAGCAGGAGTCAAGAGCAGAGGCGAGATCAAGTATGTCGTTGTGAGGGAAACACATTTTAATCCACAACACAGGGTTAACGCACCAGAAAACATGAGCAACAGGGAGGATGCCTGGGCTTCACAGCCACCCTGTAACCTCACCTTCAGTTCTGGAAAGACCTTTGTGTTGGGCTCTGGGCAATGACCCACAGAAGGGAGAGACTGCCATAAGTCCATCACAGAAATGGGAGGGTGCAGCTGGCTTCCGGAAGAGAAGAACAGAGGTTCCAAGTCAAGTTGGAACATCTGTAGGATTTGGAGCAAGTGAAATCTCAGTTTTTTTGTGTAAAGCAAAGATCTTAGAGTCTTGTAACAATTAAATACATGCAGTGAGGTGTTGATTAGAACCCTTGGCACACAGCAAGCACTCAATAAAGACTCTCTCACTGGTGCCGCTATTATTAGGCTATAGATTTTCCAATCCTATCTGTAAAATTCATTCAATTAAAGGGGACATGAAAGTTAGCTTAGAAATGCCATGGGCAGAATTAGGAGCATGGTACCTGGGAGACAGTACGCGCAGCTCAAGGAGTGCAAAACCCTAGAGTTAGTGAATGTTATCAAACCAGCTCTCAGGCAGCCCTTAGACAGAGCCCCGTGCATTGCTCAGGGTGGCCCCATGCGTTGTTCAGGCTGCCCCATGCGTTGCTCAGGGTGCCCCATGCGTTGCTCAGGGTGGCCCCATGCATTGCTCAGGGTGCCCCGTGCATTGCTCAGGGTGCCCCGTGCATTGCTCAGGGTGCCCCATGCGTTGCTCAGGGTGGCCCCATGCCTCTGCACTGTTCCCTGTGCTTCCAACTCACTGTGCCGCCTGGAGTCCCACCAAGAGGAGGAGGGAAACATCAGTCTCTGGTTCGGGATCATTCATTTGGTCACTCAGCAGACTTGAATGCCAACTGCATGCTGGGAATTGGGCAGGTTCTAAGAGTTTAGCAATGAACAGACAGCAACTTTGTACCTCTCGACTTGGCATTCTAGTGAGGAAAACACACAAGCCAGGTGGAAAGATAGACGAACAAATGCTAATTATAACACATGTTATGAATGGAGTGGGTATGGTGGCGCAGCACATCCCATAGTGGCTGGCGTACTTCGGATCACCTTCCTGCTGAAGTACCTGCAACATGGCAGATGATAACTCAAACACATGAGCCCTGTCTCCCAGTGAGTGATCCAGATGAAGCTTCTGACTCCAGACTTTGGCCTGGCCAAGCCCTGGCTGTTGCGGGCATTTGGGGAGTGAGTCAACAGATCGAGAGATTTTCTTCTTCATTTCTTCCTCTCTCTGTGTGTCTGTATCCTCCAAATAAATAAATAAAACTTGAAAAGATAATAACATTTTTTTCAGTGCTATGAAGGAGCAATAATTACCTCCACTACAATCCAATGAGATCACATGTGTTCTACAGCTAACAAAATCGAGGTTCAGAGAGGGGATGTAAGTTGGCCAAATTAGCACCTTGAGCCCATGTGAGAGATGACATAAACTCTCTCCCCATAAAGTGACTCCAGCCCGAAGGGGAGACCTTCAGAGGGTCACAGCTGCCACTGAACAAGGGCCCCAGCCTCTGTGACTATTCCTTTGCTCTGAGAAAGGCATAAGAGGCTCTGAGCACAGCACCTGTTGCTTAGGGCACACTGAACCATCAGCAGAGGAACTTCTATAAGACTAAACCACCTTGAGGATTCTGAGGCATGGTCGTATCGAAAACTCCACTTAGTGAGTCATCTCTGCCCGATCACTCAAGGTGAACTGTTCACAGCCCCTGCCCGCTCATTGCCACAGCAGTATAACAGAAAGGCACAATGCAGGCCAACTGTGTCCAGTGATCCTAAATCCAGAATGACTATGTCGTCAGTGAATAAAGACTTGGGTCTGCGTTGATTGTGAACATCAATAACCAAATGCACAACTGGGGATGGGAGGGGCTGCCTCTGCAGGACAACTAGTCTAGGTGAGCTCCAGATGGGGTTGGCCTCCAAACCAGCCCTACAAGACAGCAATCCCCAAGAGATCTACTTCCATCCCAGGTGAGTAGACAGTCTTGAGACACTTGGGGACCTTTGCCCAGGCTGACTCCTGCTGCCAGGCTCCTGGGTCCCTGGAGCAGGAAGCTCTGGCCAGAGAGTCCTGGTCCCCACTGCAGCCCTGTCACACTGCCTGCTTCTCACCCCACCCATGTGCAGGTGTGGTGGCAGAATCTGTAATGAGAGTTTTCCTCATAAACCACACAGGCTGTAGGTCACGTCCTGCACCTTCCAGCTTTGTGTATCTTCTGAGTGTGTGATTTAGTGACTCTAATTTTGCAACATTCATGAAAGCCATGCAAGCCAAAAGCCTTCCTGCTTTAGTGACTACCAATTTCCCAGTGCCACCCATACCCTGATGGGGTATATAGGGGCAGGTGCCTCCCACATGCAGAGCAAGGTTGTTCTATAGTGCACAGCCCCATCTTTAAATAACATGACCAATTAATCTCTAGTCAGTGTACAAAGTTGGAAAATAAAGAAAAACAGGAGCAAACTTAAATGACCTAGAATCAGATGTTGCTACTATTTGGTTTTTCTGCACCTATGAGTATTGTATTTTTAAAACATATTTATTTCCTTTCATTGGGAATGCAGATTTAGGGAAAGATCTTTCATCCACTAGTTTACACCCCACATGGTCACAATGGCCAGAGACAAGCCAATGCTAAGCCAGGACCCAGGAGCTTCTTCTGGTTCTCTCATACAGGTGCAGGGTCCCAAGACTAGGCTATCTTCTACAGCTTTCCCAGGCCACAGGCAGGAAGCTGCATTGGAAGTGGAGTAGCTGGGACATGAACCAGTTCCAATATGAGATGTTTGCACTTGAACCTGCATCAGCCCCTAGTATTGCCTTTTGGTAAGCTAAATGTTTTCTGCCTGTACGTTTTGTTTCGTGGCTTGATTTTTACTCTCTAAATCACAGGCACTTGCCTGGGTTGTTTTCTATTCTTCATCCATGTCATTTTTACAGTTGTAAGCACATGTGATAAAGTTGATGAAAACAGTGCCAGTGCTGAACACTTGGATTTTTTTTTTTAATTCTGCTGTTCAATTACATCCTGGCAGATAAAACTGAGCATGTTACCAGGAGTTTCCAGAGAATGCTTCTCAGGAAAGAGAATGGGTCAGACAAAGCAGGTGCCCATTGCTGAGGAACTAAACGCGTGCTAACCAGAGGCTACCAGGAAGGAAGGCTACCAGCTCCCCCGGGCTGTATGAGAATGTGCTTTCTGCCCTGTGCTCATGGAGACGCTGCATTCTACAGGACTTATTTATTGATTTTGAAAGTTGTAAGTAGAAAGAAAGAGAGAGAGAGAAACAGCCAACGCTGGGCTAGGACGAAGCCAGGAGTTTCATCCGGGTATTCCACATGAGTAGCAGAGGCCCAGACACTCGGGCTATTTTCCGCTGCTTTTCCACGTCATTAATAGGAGATGGATTGGAAGCAGCCTGGACACAAACCAAAATGTTGACATTGCAAATGGCAGTTTAACCTGCTGCCAGTCCCAATGCTGCATTTTACATATATATAAAGTAAGATACAGAACATAAATCTTTGCCCCTTGGGCATCTTGGCTTTCAGCGAGACTCGGCTCTCAGCACAGGGCCTACAAAGAAGCTTAGCCCTCTTCTATAATTCCACTCATTCATTACGGATCAGCCATTTTTCCCACTAAGTGCCAGAGAATCCACATGCTGAGCTTTGCTGGCCATCCAACCTGTCGTCACTCCCCAATTCTGCCCACAGAACACAAACAGTAGCTGTAGACAATAATAGGAAAGGAACAGGTTTGACAGTGTGTCAATAAAACTTTATGGATACTGTGCTTGCCCTGGCAGCACATTTATATACTAATATTGGAACGATACGGAGAAGATGAGCATGGCCCCTGCGCAAGGATGACACACAAATTCATGGAGCTTTCCATATTTAAAAAAAAAAAACTTTATGGATGCTCTCATTAAAAGTCATGTCATCTCCACATGCCATGAATATTCTTCTTGTAACTGCTTGAGAGAGCAATGACTGCTCCAAGCTCCCGAGTCACGTGACAAGCAGGTGGGCTAAGGCATGTCTGGTCTCAGGGCCTGACTTGGCGGAACTTGGGATTGAAGCGAGGGTCCACACGCACAGGACCTGCATCCTCCCCTCTGGAAAAAGGATTTTCCTCAAAAGTGTAATCCTCTTCAACCCTGGCTGTACATTAGAATTTCCCGAAAACATTTTTAAATGTGTGCTGCGCCCACACCTCAGATGAAGGAGCCCTGCGGTTCTCACGGCAGTGTGTGTGCACATGGCCAGTAAAGGTGTCCGCGTGTGACTCCGAAGGTCAGCGGTACGTGAACTTGCATTGGTCATGGGCATAGCCAGCATGGCCCCGATGGGCACCGTATTCAGGCCACTCAGCCCTGCGAGGATGCCCAGAGCTGGAGAATCTGGATCAAGAGGAGGGGAGGTGCAGCATGGAGCAGAGTCAGGTGCACAAGTGGACTGAGCATGCGCTGAGTATAGGCTCCAGAGGCTGGGCTGCTTTGCTTATTTTTTAATATATATTTTGAAGCCAGAGTATGTGTGCATGTGTGTGTATACGTTTGAGAGAGATTAAAAAAAAAAAAAAGAGGAGGAAGAGGAATAAGAAGAAATCTGGCTCACTCCCCAAATAGCCACAGCAGCCAGGAAGCAAAGAACCAGGAGCCTCATCCAGGTCCCCCAGAACACCCCCAGAGCCTCTGCCCTGGTCTGCAGGTGCAGGCGCTGGAGTGTTCCATGATCAACAGCAAAGAGATAGAGCTGCAAATCTCAGACTCACCGCTACCCTGCCCGACGCTGCAACCGACTGAGGGCATCACATGGCCGTTCAGTCCGCACCCAGCCTTTCTGCTCCCGCCCTCCCCATGCTTTGCTTTTCCTTGCAGATTTCAAGGTGATGACAAAAGAGAGAATGGTTTCAGCTTCTGCTAATACCCACTTGACCCACAAAAGAGAATTCACCAGCATTCCGCAGCTTCTAATTTAAAAACCATTAGACGGTTCCGCTTGGCAGACCAGATCTAAATATTCTTAAAGGGGTGGTTTAATTCAATGATTACCTTAACAAGCCCCCTTTTAAAATGATGATCCGCCAAATTCGGGGGATTTGTTTTGGAATCTGATCCAATAAGTGGCTTTGTACAAAGAGGAGCAGAACGGGAATCTGATTTGGTTCAGAACACAGCGAAAATCATGGAAATTACTTTGCATATTTAATCACTGTGGAAACATGAGTACAAACGACTTTCTAGAGATTACCTTAGGAAAAAAAAAAAGCAGCAGCTCCGGGCTTTGCAGCCAGTATACCAAGCGCTTTGATTTACTGGGAATTATTTGGATTTTATAGAACACTTAGTATTTCAAAGACTTCAAGCCACTCAACCACTGGCAGAAAAGACATATTTTAAACAACAGGATAAACACTAGGCTTTGGGAATGGGAAGGACAGGGAAAGATCTGGCATTTAGGACCGTGGGATGCCCTCAACATCTTTTTTTTTCACCCAAAACCTGGGGAAAAAACGTGAACAGAAACACCAAGAGAAACCCACACTTCCCAAGTGGCCGCAACGGCCGGAGCTGAGCTGAGCCAAAGTCAGGAACCAGGAGCCTCCCCTGGGTCTCCCACATGGGCACAGGGTTCCAAGGCTTTGGGTTGTCCTTGATTGCTTTCCCAGGCCACAAGCAAGGAGCTGGAAGGGAAGCAAGGCAGCTGGGGTTAGAACTGGCGCCCATATGGGATCCTAGCATGCAAGGTGAAGACTTTAGCCACTAGGCTACTGTGCTAGGTCTACAATGATACTTTTAAAAGTTCATGGGCAGATTAAGTTGAAACATGATGTGCAGGCCCAGCATTGTGGCATAGCAGGTCAGGCCACTGATCCCAATGCCAGCATCCTATAGGGGCATTAGGTTGTGTTCCACTTCTGATACAGCACCTTGTTAATTGCCTGAGAGAGCAGTGGAGAATGACCCGAAGGTTTGGGCCTTTGCCACCCACATGGGAGGGCCAGGTGATGCTCCAGGCGCCTGGCTTTGGCCAGGTACTGATCGCTGCAGCCTTCAAGGGAGTGAACCGGCACGTGGAGGGTCTCTCTCTTTTCCCCTCTGTGTAACTTTCAAATAAATCAATCTTCCAGAAAAGTGATATGCATCTTCTGTGAGCTTTTTGAATACCTCGTGTGTGTGTGTGTGTGTGTGTGTATAACAGAGAGATTGGTTCTGTCTCTCTTAAAAAGCCCTAATAAAAAGAGGAAGGAAGCAGATGAGTGGCAGGTGGCACCAAAGACTCTGTGCCGCTGTCACTGGGGCATTCACCGCACGCATTCCTGGGCTTTCCTTCCTGGCCAGTGCTGCCCATGTAGCGAACACAGAGCTGCGATCCAGAGGAATCAGAAGAAGCGGCCGGTTTAGAAAGCGCTCCAAAGCAGTGCCACGCTCTCAGACGGGCCCCCACATGCCAACAGCTGGCAGCAGCTCCATTTGTAAAACTGCATGCAAGCATCTGCCTCCATACACACTCGTCACAGACGCCAACGCATGCAGTGGCCACGCGCTTCGTAGGACTAGCAGGCCTTGCGAGAGTGGGTGTGTGTTTGGGTTTGTGCATTTCCAAAAGGAATGTTAGAGAGCAGATGTGCATACTGTGTGTGTGTAAATAAGCAGACACACACACACACACATACACACACCCCTCCTTTGGGCTCCCCCTAAGCAGGACGGAGGCCTCAGCTGTAGGCAGGTGACTGACTCTAAGTGGTAGAAGACCTGGATGATGACATCAGGATGACTTGTCAATCAGCCACAAGGTGGATGGGGAACTGCCTCTGCAGAGATCCACACCCAGAACCCGAGTGGCTGTGACCCTGCACCAAGCTGGGACAGCAAGGAGACCACATGCCAGCCGAATTGCACGCTTGAACACCTTGCAGAGAGAACTCCCTCAGTGGCTCCGCCCAAGCCTGTAGTAACACAGCCAGGTCCTGCCCCTGGAAGACTAGACTCGCTCCAGGCTCCTATCTGCAGCCTGGCCCAGCCCTGGCTACTATGGGCATTTGAACAATAAATCAAGGAGTGGTTTGCACAGAGCCCATCACACGCAAGATGCTCTGCAAAGGTTTGCAGGCTAAATGGACCAGACAGCCAGGTATGCGGAAATGGAGGGACATCCGATGGAGACGGGGAGCAGGACATGGGCTGTGCTCTCAGGGCTCAGCTGATTTTGGCAATGGAAGCATCATCATCATCATCATCATGAGTACTGCCCACAATGACTACTGCCCATGCCATCTCCTACTCGATCTGGTATTTACAAGGAATATGCTAAAACCTCCTAACAACTTTAGCAAGCACGTAATGTTATCCCTGCAGAAACCAAGGGCCAGCAATGCTAAGTAACTCCTACCAGGCCACCCGGCTGATTGGAGTCCATGGTGCAGGCAGAGCTCAGCCTGGCCATTATCTGCTCCCTCATCATAAGGGGTACCCACACCGCATGGGTATGGCCGCCACCTCCCCCCTCTGCCCATGTTTGAGGTTAAGAGATGGATTTCCTCACAACCCCCTTTGTCCCGCATGAGCCATTTCAGGGGCGGGCTTGGCTCAAACCTGAATCATGGAAATAGGTTGTCAATTACCCCGGGTGGCTGTGTGAAAGAATTATTGCAACAGTCATGGTGAAAAGAAAACTTTATTTTCACCACTTTCCAGTAAAAGCTAATTCAGAATAACTCCATTTAACAGTTATTTTATGCTGAAATCTTGAATACCTCGGGGAGTCTTTGAGGGATTTTAAAGTCTCTTTATTTATAAATGATTCATGCTGCATTTTCAGAAAAACCTACAATTAGTGTGGGTAGCACGGCAGCTCCTTAGGGAAAGGTAAAAAAAGAGAGAGAGAGCGTGCGCGCAAAGGAAAGAAAAAGAAAAGACACATGCATTCTCTCCCCCTTTCATCCATTGTTGTTCAGCAGTGGACTATAAAAAGAGAACTAAAGAGGAAAGAAAAGGAGATATTTTGTCTAACCTTTTAAATGCATGCCCCGTTTGACGGTATTTGTACAGTTAGTTGTTCTCGGGATCCACTCAACCCACAAAATTCTTCTAATGCACTTTTCCATTTGGTCCTTGCTCCCCAGGCCTGCAGAAGACCGATGGAGTCAGAGCTGCTTCAGCCAGTCCCTGCCTTGACAACATCTAAATCAGGAATTCTGGGGGAGGGAGGGGGGCGCGGTCCCTGGGCTCAGCCTGAGCCCCAAAGCCACCACAGAACCTGAGGTCTGGATCCTGTAGCTTCTGAGCTCCAACCTCAAAGGCCCCAGACCTTCCCCAGCCTCACCTTCCTCACCTGGTCAGGTGCCACACCCACCTGGTGGGCTTTGCCATTCAACATGGCCTTAATGCCCTTTATGCTCTGTGCCACGTGCCAGCAGGCCTGCAGCTTCAGAGAAGATGGAATCTGAGGAAAAGCCCAGCAAACGATGGAGGAACAGAGGCCACGAGAAGCTCAACCAGCACAGAGGGACACGAGCTCAGACATGGGCTTCAAGGGGGACAATCTGAAGGGAGTGAGGTCCACCCACCAAGGGGAGCAAGTCTGGAAAGGAGGGCTGAAGGGCCAGCAGGGGTGGCCATCTGAAGACCATAGACAGAAACGCTCATCCTGGGTCAGCTGGCAGGCAGCTCAGCCCCACCAAGAGGACAGAGCTTGGGCTGTAAGAAGGGGCACACCGAGCTGACCCAACAGCAGTCATTGCCACAGGAGGGCTTAGTGAACTCAGTGTCATCCAACACCATTAGCCTTCAGGTAATTACCCAGCAGACTCAAAGGGAGCTAGAACTTTCCAGTGGCATTTGCAGAGGACCTCAGTTATGTCTTTCCCGCATTTTCTTGCCCAAGTCATTA